CTCTCTCTCTCTGTCCCTCTCTCCCCGGTTTCAAGCGGTCGAGCAAAATGTTAAAATGCGGATATTTTTAAAGAGTAATTTTTGCTTATATAGTCACTTTTCGTTGCGTCTGTTCAGTCACTTTTGCAGAGTGAGTGTCGTACCCCTTGTGGGTTATTTTGAACCATTCAAAAAAGTGCGTACACATAATGCAGATAGGAGATTTTCAAGGGCAAAACGTAACCAAAGTGAAGCACGTGGTTTTCACATATTTTCTCACTATGACGAAAATGTAGATCTAGTTTGCATTAAGCAGAACATAAATTTAAATGTACCCGCCATTGTTGGCATGATTCGATGCAAAAGTGCACAAACTTTGGCTATGGCACAACGAATCTGGAAGGTCTGATGTACTCTGTTTACTATTGCGTAATTACTCCTGTTAGTGATTAAAACATGCCATATTACTATGAAACCGTGCGTTTTTAGGCACATAAATAGTTATTCAAAGGCGGATCCAGATATGCATTTTTGACGGAAAGAATACAACAATTATTCTGCCGTTTGTTCGTTGTGTATTGTGTATATGTACAAATGACCCCCACATATCTGTTAAACAAATGTAAGTACAACAGGCCCACCGGGACATTAAAAGGACGGTGAACAGAGAGAACCAAGGGTGCTCAGAAGGGCGCACGTTGCCTCCTCACTCCCTGCTTCCACCTGGCCTGCATAATGGACAACAACATTCCGTCCTTCGTGAGTCGGCACGCACCGCGTAACAGTCTTTCCGTCTTATCATGATGTACCAGTTGTTCTAGCGACTTAAAAATAGTACGAACTTCCGTCAATAGATGTGTAAAATCTCATCGTCCGCTAGGAGGCAGTAGCTTTCAATTCAGAAATGGCCTTACCTCCATTTTGAGCGTATTTGCTCCTAAACAGGCCATTCATATCGCCGATAATATTGTCAGGCATTGGCATGCACAAGAGCTGGCATTAGGTCACAAATGCCACCCGTACATTTGTGCGCAGAAGGTAGCCCACGCTCTATGGAAGCATTGTACACTTTCCTCGTACGAATGGGGGGCCCTAGCTACCCCTCAGGCATCGTAAACCACGAAAGCTAGAGCCACAGGAAAAACGGTGTTGGAATGCTGTTATCGGAATGCATCGGGTAGATGTAATTTAACTTGTGTGAATGCAAAAGTTTACAGGTTAAATTATCAGGTTTTTATCAGGTTAAATTATCTTTTATGGATTGCCTTTATCCTTTATATGTTTATTCTATTATCTTAAGTACTAGTGCAAGCGTGAGATCGCTAGTACTGACGAGACCTCACCAGACCATATTTTTTCTGGAAAAGAGTTAACATCTTGGGAAACACGCAGGCATAGCGGAAAATTGCCCTTTTCACATTTAGATCAATCTATGCGTTTGGAATACTTTATTTTGGCTAATGCTGGGTACACCGGCAACAGTTTTTTCGATGACTACGATTGGTAAGAATTCATTAGGTTTTTCAAGCGCGACGCTCAATCACACCGAAAAGCCCAGCCAAGCAGGGCATTTGAAAAATAAAATCAGCCTTTAATGCCATCTAGTTCAATCACACTACGAAACACCGAATGCACATGCCACAAGCCAGATGTCATTTAAAATGCTCGAGGGAAACAGGGACAATAGCGTTTTGGCCCACAGGGTCTTTCAGCCAGTGATTTACGGCCAATACGTCGGGGTCGAGCCGTAAACAAGCCGTCGTGTTTTTGTGCGTGGTGCTGCTAGCTTCCACCAAACATGTTTCGCCTGTGAGCACTTGACTGGAAGCCCGAGGGAGCGTTAGTTCTATCCACATTACGTCTAGCTCAGCACATCACAGGGATGCAACTTCGGCGTGGTGATGTCATTAAACGACTGATATATGTTGTAATATTTATACATTACGAAGTCGGGTACTGTCTTTTTCAAAACCGAAGAGTTGTGGCCATATCTTCTTCATCGTGACTGCTATTAAACCACATTTAATTATTTAGCATACGGGCGTAGCTAGACTAGACTAGACAAGACATAACTAATTACACTAGGCTCAAGCTGTCAAGCTGGTACACTCAATGCTCCCCTTAAGATATTATATTTGCCTTTGAAACTGCCGACTTTTGTGAAATGCTGCATATAATTTCTTTCCCTAATCAGAGGTACATTCTTACATGGGTGTTCAATGCAATGCGAGCAAGCGCTCGCTTAAGAACGAGATATATCCTTGTCGTTTAATTAGTGTCTGTTGCCAAAACCTCATCAGGACATAATCAGCGTTGCACTCACAAAGCACATCGACGGTGTGCGTGAGCTCCATCAGCGGCTTGGAGGAGACGGAGCAGGTGAAGTTGCCGGCATCTGGCAGCCCCACGCGGTCAATCCGCAGATTGTGACCGTCCACCAGGCTGAGCCGGCTGTCCGAGTCGATGATGAGGTGTCTGGCCGTCAGCACTCGCTTCCCCTGCTGCCATACCACCGAATGTGTCCCTGCAGAGCAGACAGGACCCGTCAAGCTCAGCAGCGTGGTGAAGCCCAAACGGCGAACCCAGCAGACAGGACCCGTCAAGCTCAGCAGCGTGGTGAAGCCCAAACTGCGAACCCAGCAGACAGGACCCGTCAAGCTCAGCAGCGTGGTGAGACCCAAACGGTGAACCCGGCAGACAGGACCCGTCAAGCTCAGCAGCGTGGTGAAGCCCAAACGGCGAACCCAGCAGACAGGACCCGTCAAGCTCAGCAGCGTGGTGAGACCCAAATGGTGAACCCGGCAGACAGGACCCGTCAAGCTCAGCAGCGTGGTGAGGCCCAAACGGCGAACCCAATAACCGGACAAACACGGACGGGCTCACAGGCGAACGCTGAATTCGACAACGTGACGCAAACGTAACTCACTGCTTCACTGCTGGGCAGAACTGTGGGTGTTTGTGTTTTAATACGCTCAACTTTTGTTATCGTAGACAGCGTGCACCGCACGTCGGTAAAGTTTATGACACCCTCACAAATTTCTGTCATTTCTGTTTCAATATCAGTTTCACAAAATGACACCAATGTAGTCAACTCACTGTATATGCAAAGCATACTGCTTGGGTCGGTTTACTCCCTTTCCAAACCCGAGTGTCCAGAGTTAAACAAATATCGTGGACTTCACTTTGCATTGCTCACCATCTTAAGTTTATTCCCCGACAGCTCCGTGGTCTCCATCGTCACAGAGGCTTTACGACGCGCACAGCTACTTGGGCTGGGCGGCGTTGCCTGCCTCTCACTCTGGCAGGGCGGGCGGGCACCCCGGGAAATCGAGTCCCGATACTCTGGTTTTCCAAACGCGCAACGTAACCACTATCCCACCGGCACCGGACAGCGTGACAGGCTGTGGGCACGTATTTATTTGGAGCCATTTTCCGAGTATGGGTCATCTATTCCGAATGGGGTGGAGTTCTGAATCAATATTGATGAAAACCCCGCAACTCTCTGATTGCGGCCGAAGTCGGGTAGCTCAACTATTTTGAGCACCCCAGCCCCACGTCGGACAGCACGAATGATGAAGTCGGACGTGGTCAGAATACTAACGGCAGGTCCAGACCGCAGCACGGCGCTAGCGACGTATAAATGTCGTGATTATCTGCGATTATCTGCTTCACCGTCTCCCAAAGGTCACACTGTGGCTGCTGCCGGCACCCTGGTGCTGGAGTCCCCGCACCGCCTCGGACATTTGCAACGTCAGTGCCCTGCCACACTCCTGGCCGTAGTCTTCCCTCGCTCCCGGCACGTATCGGTAACTCCGCTGTGACGCCCTAGTAGCACCCATCCCCTCGCCCCATCTGCATGTTTGGTGCCAATGGCGCCGCTGGCCGAGCTCCGGCCATTGCGGGTTCTCCTAGTCGATCACTGTGCTGCTGCGCTGCAGCTCCGGCGCCGCCCCGTCTCACCGGCGTGTCGGACGCTGCAGGGCAGCACCACGGCGTCGCCCTCGCGCACGCTGAACAAGCCCGGCTGCGAGAGGAACTCAGGCTTGAGCTGCGGCGCCGGGGGCACCACCGCCTGGGCTGACCCTGAAATAGAAGCGGCAGTCAGAAGCCGACCGGCACGCCAGACCCCGGCGGCAGCCACAGACCGACCGGCGCGGCAGACCCCGGCGGCAGCCACAGACCGATCGTCAGCCATCTTCCCACGCGGCCAGACCGATCGTCAGCCATCTTCCGACGGCAGCCACAGACCGATCGTCAGCCATCTTCCGACGGCAGCCACAGACCGATCGTCAGCCATCTTCCGACGGCAGCCACAGACCGATCGTCAGCCATCTTCCAACAGCAGTTTTCAACAGCAAGGAGCAGCTTACGTACTGACCTTGCTTTGCCCTTGACCTCAACGCCATGGACTAAAACGCTGTAATAATTGAGGGTGCCAACAGAAGGCAGCTTCATAAAGGCCAAAAGACGTGCTATGAAGAGGGCTTTTAGTAGCAATCTGTGAACCCAAACCAGTTTTGTTTATTTCTGCGCGTGGCCAGGCGCTGTCGAGAAATATCGGTGTTTGTATTTTAACATCCACAAATAACTTTTGCTATTGTCATAATTAATCGTCGCAACATATTTCGGTTTAATACCCAGACATATCACAAATAACGGCAGCTTTTTTTAGCAACATTTCAACGCATTTCAATTCAAATGAATCGCAGGCGTAAAAAACTATCAGGTACGGGATGTTATGATCGCTGTTATTGACGAGCGATCACATCTTCGCAATTATTACAATGTTGGCAACTGGTAATCAGACGATTCGGTCCGGAGGAGTGAGACTCTTTGAGACTAGCTCTGGCAGATTTCTGCTCAAAACATGTTGGTAAGCCCCAATCCCTTCAAAGCGAGTGCTCCACATTTGTATCGGGTTTTGAACTGAAAAGGCCCATTAAAGATCTTTTGATGCAGTTGACAGCAGCACACTTCTTAAGAACTAAGCCCTTCTAGTTTCTGGCTACACGCCCGTGAAGATGTACAGACTATTCGGGGAGACTGTTTCAAGATCGCATAGGCATTCATCACGCCATAATAACGTCATTCAGATCCTGCCATTCCCTTGGCCATGCCGTGATCAGGCGTAATACAAAAAAAAGAATTGTTGAGTCGTTCGTATCTGGCGTTCGTGTGCACGATTTTGAGATTCAACGGTTGTCAGTTTAATCTCAATCAGTTTTGCATAAGGTAAGATGACATGATCAAACAATAATGTAATGCGGAACATATTTACAAAAAGAGAAAATGTGTTGTCTAGAGCAGCTAATTCAGCTTCAAAGTGTGCCATGGGCTATAAATGAGCTTATTTCATTATATCTGACGCTTGCTTCAATATCTCAAATGTGGAACATACGCTTTAATGCTGGCATGTAACTGCTAATGTGGGTATCCAACATGAACATTCTATCAGCATTGTCACGTGCACACACTTATTGACATACATCGCCAAGCTATTTCCTTTGCTGGAGGTACCCAATCGTGGCTACCATTATTCAGGGTAAGCGTCGTTCACATAATCCACCCCGATTTGATAAATGCAGGCTTTTGAAGCGAGAGTCATCGCTCTTCGTTACGTTCGCCGCCCTGCTGCTGAGCTGCGCTGGCAGTCGAGAGCAATACGCCCTGCTGCTGAGCTGCGCTGGCAGTCAAGAGCAATACGCCGGTCGCCGGCCCGAACCTGCGACAGCGAACAAGGAGCGCTCCTCAGATTCGACAGCGACCGCCGCGGCCCAATCATGACGGGCTGCTCGTGTGCCGTGAAGCTTTTCCTGAAACCTGTCAAAAGTTAGCTGCTCGTAATGCGATATGAAGTTACCAAACTAAATGAGCCACACTAAGAAATTGCACCATACGGCGTATTGTATTCTGCCCTAAATTGCAACAGGAAGCAGCACCATTATTTACTAGATTTCCTCTACTCTAGAAGCCTTATGAAAGCCTGCCATGGTCGCATATACTCCATCAAATCCTTTTCGCCATCTGATGACTTTTTCGTTTCGGCCGGGCTTAACTGTACGCACATCCCAAGTGTCCTTTAAATTTCACCCACTGCAACCATGTCTTCTATGATCATGTCTAAAACGTTGTCTGGTTCAGCTACAGCTTGAGTGATTGTTGCAGAGCGCAGATCCAGGGTTCGACCATGCCACGTGGTCCACTCACTTTTCGTGAGAGTCCCACTTTCACCCTACAAATTGGTCCCCGTGCGCAATTCAGAGGATTTCTTCGGAGGGATGGTTTGAATATTCGGATAGTCGCTTTCCAACGTTTCATTGGACAGTGAGAAGAGCATGCGTGCTGTTCTCATACTCATGTTCAAGTTCATGCAACATAATGTCACGTACGATCACTGCCGCCCGGTTTGCTGCGAACAGCAAATGGTGCAGAATCTGTGCGGCATGACGTCATGCATCACACCAAATCAATACATTCTTCGTCGTCCGGACTGTTGTGAATACACCAATAGCGGCGGCAGGTTCGCCAGACGATAAAAGTGAAAACAACATCAGTAAAACATGAACAAAAACAAACAGCTTCCAAAACTTGTGCTTTCCGGATGTGAAACGGGCTCTACGTGTAAAGAAAATGACTTACGGGGGTGTTGCACATTTATATGAGGTTTTGAACTGAAATGGGTACCTTGAAGACCTTTTGCTGAAGTTTACAGTCCTGCCCTTCTGGAGCAGGGCTGTGAACTTCACCCCATCCTCACTCCCTCAAGTCAATTCCTTTACACAACAGAACAAACTGGGCCCATCCAGTTTGAGGAATTGCAGAGAGCAAAGCGTGACGAGGAGCTCTGAAGGGGAGCGCGGCGGAGAAGTCTAGATGGCGTCGGGGGGGGGGGGGGGCGGGGGAGTCTCGAAGGAGAATCCCCAGAGTCACTGGTTGGTGTTTTAGGTAAAAGGGGGCGAGTGCCGTGCGTCTGTAGCTGACAGTCCTGCATCGAGAGCAGAACGGCGACGACCTCTGGCTCCGTGGTCAACGGGGCGCCGGCGACAACACGCACGATGGGGGTCCACAGACCGTCACGCATCCTAATCACACCATGGCCGGCTGTGTGCTCCAAGGCTCTGAAGATGTCCCTTGATTCCCCCCACCACCAACGGGCGGGCGCGGGCCACAACAGCCTCTTCCCTCCCATGTTCTTGGGTAAAGGGGGTAAGGGACACTGGCCATGCGACGCTCCCGGCCCGGAACTGTGTCTCGGAGCGACAGATGTAATCGCACAGTTAACGATGGGGGAATATGCCACTCGGTTTCGGCGCTGGGCCCGCGTATAGCGGTAGACTGTAGCGCGTGGGGCGTGGAACAAAGGTCAGATAAGTAGGCTGATGTGATCAATATGTGTGAATTATTTTGCAACTACAGGTGACGGACTGCGTTATAATTGTCTGGCATTCAAGCGAGGCTTGAGGTAATTTGGCCAGACGGCGACACGACATTTGCGGCCGGCTTGGTTGGAAGTGGTGACCGAGACCGGTGACGCATGCTTCGGCGCGATGGATCGTTCATTAGCCTGCGACGATGCTGTCTTGATTTCGCCATTGGAGGTGGCCACGTGGAGGTGCATCGGCTCATTATGGCCTTCGCCGATCCTGCGTCGCCGCCAGGTGCGGTGTACGAGTCAAGAAGGGTCTTCTTTGGCTAGGGCGTTAGTGGCCGCTAGTTGGACCGTTTGTCTGTTCCTGGTTTCCCTATTTTTCCCCGATGATTAGGAGCGGTAGAGCTCTGAGCTAAACCCCGTACAGCTCACGTGTGCGGGTTTTGCTTGCAATTACGCTTCCCTCCTTTTTAAATGTGTTGCTTAATCCAGCTTGCCAAGGTTCTGACACATTGACAGATCCTTTGTCGATTCGTTTCCAAAAGTCTCTTTAACACGCGCTCGGGTGGGGGTCAAAATGACCCCCAAAGATTTTCCCGGAAGAGTTTCCGAACGGCGCGGTGCAGCCGCGCCAGATTTCGTGTAGCTGTGGACAACTGAATAGCGGATCGTCTGACATAAAAAATTAAATTCACTTCGTAACGTTGACGGCCTATGGCATGTCAAAGTCAGGCCATGGTTTCAGCGAAGACACGTTCTAGTAAATCGCTCAATCCGATCAAACAACGGAGTGTTAGACAAAGCCAGATATCTCTGAGATACTTTCTTAGGCAACACAACAATTGAATAAACAAATAGCGTTGACCTAGGGTCAGGCATGAAGGTCAGACAAAGGTCAAAACCAACCTGTTCTATTACTCTCAGGCTTAATGTATAGGCTGGTTTCTGGCGTCCATACCGAGTATATTGATAGCAGGAACCGGAATTAAACACCTTTTCTGGACTTCTTATAAGTGAGAATAGGTCATTGACCTAAAATGGCCCAGGCCAACCTTTTTTAGGAACATACTGCCTAGCGTAATCCTTGTCGCCTATCCAAACGCGGAACTCAAAACAGTCTTATATCATTTTGATCATCATAACCTTTAAAAGGTCAAGCAAGGTCACTGACCTTAAATGAGCGTAAGATATTTTGCTTAAAACAGTTGCCTAGGTTCTAGGAGCCCTTTGGAGGTCAATCTCGAGTTTGACGTTGTTTGACCTTATCTGACCTGAGGGTCATGACCTAGGAACCTCACACTTCGACCTAAGTGAGTTCACGTACAGGTCAACACACCCTGTGAATTTGGTGTCTCTAGCTCTCTTTGTTCCTGAGATCTCAGGGGGGTCGAATTGACCCCCTCCACACGAGCGAAGGATACTCAACCGGCCACCCGGGCGCGTGTTAAAAGGTCAAAGTCACTGACCTTAACTGAGCGTGCGACATTCTTCTTAGGACAGTTGCCTAGGTTCTAGAGCCCTTTGGAGAGCAATCTGGAATTTGACCTTGCTTTACCTTATTTGGCCCGAAGGTCATGACCTACGAACCTCAAAATTTGACCTAAGAGCGTTCACGTACAGGTAAATACACCCCGTGAATTTGGTGTCTCTAGCCCTCTTAGTCCCCGAGATCTCAGGGGGGGGGGGGCAAATTGCGAAGCGAAGGTTATATCCA